CACAGGCCCACCTCAGAGCCTTAAGGTTACTGTGCACAATTTACAGTTTTACAAATTTGTCCTTGTAAAGATAATTTGGTATCTTAGAGTCTGTTGCCTTTGCTCTTTTCTTTTAAATAAGAAACAGCAAAACAATGAAAATATAGGACTGAGCCACCTGCCAGGCAGGTGGGTGGGCAGTGGGGGAGAGGCCACCACTGCATCTGCATCCAGCCGGAACTGGGAAGATGGGCCGTCAGCAGAAGCCAAGCACGTCACACACACACTCCCAATCACAGGACCAGCAGCTATGAAGGCAGTCCTGGTCACAGGGGAGCAGGGAGCCGGACTGAGGGCTGAGCATGCGGTCTGCGCTGTTCCCTGAAGCGAGCCGTGACAGGTGCAAGCAGAAAGACAAGCCTGGAGAACAGAGTGTGGTCAGGGTTAAGGGCAGCACGGGCAATATTGGTGGAGGCGACATGGGGTGAGCAGGTGAGGATGAGCACAGACAGCACACGACACAGACGCTGACAGCATGGTGGGTGAGGATGAATGGCCACGAGGGGTGCTTGGCACAGGGCACCCGAGCTCTCCAGGAAGACTCACCCCTACAGCCTGGGGCTCAGGATAGCCTCTAAAGCTCCTCAGTGGCTCTGTTCATGTTACCAATGAAGCTAGGTGGCTGTTGCCTACAATTGTGGACACCTCCATGGCTCCCACTCTTCTGACCCCCAGGTTTGCTCCCTCTCCCTGACACACCTCTCAGACCTTAGGTAGGCTCTGCCTCCTTAGGAAGGCCTCCCACCTCCCAAGTGACCAGGCCAGGTCTCTCTGGGATAAGTGAAACCCACCTCCCCAGTGCTGGGGTTGGCTGCACCCTGACCCTCAGCTGTGTTTGACTGGCTGATTTGCACCAGCTTCCCTTACAAAGAGCTTACATCAGGGACCAGGGCTGTCCTATGCACTTGGTATAGGGCTGACAGGACACCTGGACGGGCAAGGCCACATGCTGGCCACAAACCCTACAGAGGACTCAGCCTCCTCTCAGACCAAAGGGCAAGGCCTCTGACCTCTGAGGCCCTTTTAGGCTCTGCCATTCTGAGGTGACAAGGTATGTGACAGAGAGCAAGGATCTTAGGCAGTCCAACCCAGCCACCACAGACACATCCCAAAAGCTAGCCAAGCCAGGCCAAGTGATGGACCAAGCCATCCTTTGCCAGCCCTACTCCCTCCACTGAGTCACTTCTGATGAGGGAGAAACGCACACAAATGCCACCTCCATTAGGCTGGCCAGACAGGGAGCCCTCCTAGTGTTAGGTCTCACCCCAGCCAGGGACAAGGAGATTTAGACCCACTCTCTCCCACTCTCTCTCAGTTCTACCCAGACTACAGTGGTCAGTTCTGGCTGAGTGCCTGCCTGTCCTGAGCTCGGTTTCTCTCATGGAAACAAGGACATGGCCAAGCCTGCAGGGCAGCTGTGAAGATGGAGACACAGTCCTACCCCACCAGCACCTGCCCAGAGCCTGGCCCAGAGCAAGCACGCAGCACCGCATGGTGGGGCTTACGCACACACATGCACACACAGGCACACAGGCACACACATACCAAACTGAATGTGAGGAAGGGATAGAGATTTTGTTCAAAAATTTTCTTGATACTCTGTTTGAACGTGTATTAAGAGGAATCCTTGGGAGTCCCTTAAAAATCACAAGATGACCTCGTGTCACCTTTTTTTTCCTGGTCAGGAAGTATCACCACTAATGATTTCAGATTCCAAGAGATCAATGGAAGGTAGAAGTCTGTTGGGTGGGAGGACAAGTGGGCAGAGCTGTCAGCGACAGCAGCGGCCCATGACAAAGCCTGTTCTCGCTCTGCTCCTCTCTCTTGGCTTGACCCCTCCTCAGCCCTCTGTCTGTCTGTCTGACCCCTCCTCAGCCCTCAGCCCAGCTCTAGTTTGGGTGACACAAGTCTTCAGGTAAGGGTGGTCCAGAGAGCAAATCTGAGTCCTGCGAAGCTGCTGTTATCAGATATCAAGCTATCTACATACACCTGCAGTTATTTTTCTAAACCTTATATCCAATTAGAATTGACTACGTCTGATTTCTGGTTTGAAGCAAAGGCATACTAACATGGAGAGGCAGTTCTAACAAGGGTCTCCTGGCTGCCCAAGGGAAGTGCTGGTGCTTGGCTCCCTCTTCTGCTGGTGGCAAATTAGACTATGAACATCTCCACCGGGTAGAAGATTGGGACCCAGAAAGCCTGATCCCCAGGCTCATTCTGGGGCTGCTATTTCAGCGCTGCCTACTCTCTTCTGAGGCCACACCACTGGCTGGGAGAGAGCTGGAGTGCAAACCAAGGATCGCTGGCCCCAGAGGCTGTGCTGTTCCCTCACAGTGCTGCCTAGTCCTCGCCTAGCATCTAGGAGGCTACAATGTACAGAAACCTGTGTTGAATGCTCAGGAAGATGTTACCCTCATTCCACAGGGGAGGAAACAAGCTCAGAGAAGTGAAGTCCCTTGTTCAATGCTGCTGAGCACAAAAGCAACAGAGCAAGGATTAGAACTCAGATCCCTCTGACTGTAGAGCCTGCTGGGCCTTGTCCCTGTTGGACCTCAACCAGGTTCCCTGCCTCTCCTCAGCTGTATCAGGGCCTACCAGTAGGAGGGCTCAGTGGTGACCTGCCATGCATGTCCCTGTCCTCCCAAAAGAGACCTGAGGCTGGGCTCAGGCAAGTGGAAAGTGGAAGCCACATGTTTTTTTCCCAGTCCAGAAGCAGGAGTGGAGGTGGCAGTGTGGCCTGTGAGGCACATCTCCTGACACTGCTGCTTCTGTGTGGGTCCTGGGCCTTCCCTCGGAGCCAGTGCAGCTTCTGAAAGGGCCACTGTGACATTCTAACATCGCTGTGGATCCAGGCCTGTGCAGAGCCTGCAGCAGGGTGGGACTGAGACTGGGCAAAGGGGGGCCATGGCATGCACATCATGACAGGAATCACTATGAAAGCTTTTTTTTCAAAAAAAAAAATTCAAAAATGTACAACCATTAAAATTATATTAGAACTTATTTGTAAACTAAGTACCTCTGTAAACTTCTACAACAAACAACTAGTGTGTTGGCACCCAGGACCTGTCACGGCCAGAGCCCACTACAAACACTCTGTAGGGGTTCCCAACAAGCTGCCCACATGTGCACCAACTCGGCAGCGGGTGCAGGGGCATCGGGGCCTCCTCTCTGCTCCTGGGGATGCACTCAGCCCTGTGGGCTGACAGCCAAGCACCCTGGTGCCTGCGGCCTGAGCTTGGTGGGAACCTGCAGGCTATGGAGGACGAGGCTAGTGCTCACCCGCTCAGGTGTACACAGCAGGGCCACGCAGCATGTGGACAACTGTGAAAGGCAGTCTGCTCTCCTGAAAACCTGGCACAGTGCTTCCTCGCAGCAGGTACCTGGCAGAAAGTAATTCCCAAGGGCAAGGATTTACTGCTAATAAGTTTTCTCAATCCTCTTCCCTTCTCTCTCTCTCTTTCTTTTCAGACAATGTAGTGATGGTAATGGGATCTCAATACTCTCAAGAATAAAAGGGTGGGCTCAGGGTGGTTGGCCTGTTTAACAACCTGAATTAACTAGGAAGAGGAAAGAGGTCTCACTCTGCAGAAATGAAGACTGTAGGAGCAGGTGGCTTGGCTCCTCCCACCTCTGCTTAACACCCCAGGGTGAGCAGGGAGGTGTCCACGCTGGGACTAGGGGTGATGACAGACCTGTCGGGAGGTGATGGAGCACGCAGCACCCGCACTCAGATCCTCAGCCTCTCTCTTAACATGCATGCTACAGATTCCACACCAAACCAGGAGAGGAGACTGCAAATCTCCTGTCCTCTCTTGACATCAGCAAATCCCACTCCCAGAGAAGTTGAGCACTGGCCACCTTGTCACCCTTCTCCAGCACTTCCTTAAACCTGCTATCAACCCCTGCCCACTGAGCTCAAGAAGCTGGGGGCTGCACCCAAACAGTCCAGGACCCCATGCACTGGGCAGGGACCCTAGCAGGGGACTGTAGCCAAGACATAGCTGCCCCACCAGCCCCCCTCCATACAGCTCTGTGCTGGGCCTCAGCTTCAGGGCTACTGTGGTGTCCCAAAGGGCCCTTCTTCCTCCAAGGAGCCACTCTACAGGGACCATCTGGTAGAAGGTACAGCCCTAGGGCCAATCCCACCCACCTAGGAGTGCCCCCTCACCCTGGAGAAAGCAGAACAGAGCCTGTTTCCCCAAACCCAGATGAAATGAGTGGCATGGGAGTGATGGCCCCAGTGTCTCAGCACTGTCTCTACTTTCTCACTACTTCAACGGCCCTCTATGTTCACCAGTGTGGCTCACCTCAGCAAGTGCTTTGTCACCAGTGTACCACTATCAACATGAGAACATGAAGAAACTGAGCTGCAGGCCACATGCAAGCCTCCTGGTGTTAGTAAGGAATGTGTGTGGTTGAGTGGTCGCCACCTGCCCCATCCCACGTGGGATGGCCTCACACATGGTCCCAGGTGACCCCCCCCCCATAACAACCTATCTGGATTCCCAGGGCTGACAGCACCAGGGACAGCCCCCCCACAACTGTCAGGAGGACAGAGTAGCAATAATGTGCTGCTGAACAAGGCAGGCATCACCAGTCTGATGACACCAGGAGCCACCCCAGGGGGCCCAGTCTTCCAACTGTCCTTCAGAGTAGACATCAGTGCCCCCATTGGCTGATGGGGAACTGCAGGGTCAAAGATGCCTGGTGTCTTAGGCTGGCCCGTCCCTCTCCCAGCTCCCAGTGGGTAAGCTGGCAGGTGGCGACCCTGAGCATGTCTTGGAAGCACAAGAGTCATTGTGAGTCCATGAGGTTAATGAATAGCTGCAACATTGCCCGTGTCACCCCAGACCCAGCACCCCCCCTTGCCAAAACAAAGCGACAAAACAAAGTCGCCCAAGCACCCTCCCCATGATTGGTGTGCCGCCCTGGGCTGGCAGTAGGGAGAACAGGGACTGTACCGTCCGGCGTCGCCTGCTGGTGGGGTTTTTTACATTTGACGTAATCGTGGTCAATCGGAGTAGCTGTGTAAGGTGGGGATGTCAGACCTGGGCCAGAGGAGGAGGGGAGGGAGGCTCCGGGGCCCGGCAGTGTCCCAGCTGAAGAGTGGGAGTCCTCGTCCACCAGGCAGGCCTTCTCCCTGTGGGGACAGAGGTTTGGGGCATGGGTCAGAGTCTCCATACCACACTGAAACAGATGTGTACTAGTGTGGGTCAGTGCCCTTCCTGGGGCCTACTATTCCCGTGCTTTCCGGTGGCACCTCCCCATCTGGCTGATGTCATGGAACCAAAGCTACCCTAACAGCATCCAGGTGGGCTCTGGCCCTTAACTGCGCACTACCCAACCTCTCGGGTAAGGCTCTGTGTCTCTGAGTTTCAAGCCCCAGGAGAACTGGGCAGCCTCTCCCCAGAAGCACCCCCTCCATGCCAAACGAACGTGCCCTTATATGTGACAGCCTGACAGATTTAATCCCTGGCAAACAAGTAAGTCCAGATGTGGCAAGAAACACAGCTGACCTTACTGTTTACTCACACATGTACAAAGATATCTGCTGCAACATGTTTGAGCACAAAAATGATCAATTCTCTAAATGTCCATCAGAATGGTTGTGTAAGACACAGCACATCTGCACTGTGGAACAGTGAGTAGCCACCAGAGCATCGGTTCTCAACCTATGGGTCCTGACCCCTTTTTAACAATGAAAATACACTGTGGCATTAGGAAGGCTGAGAACTACTGCACTAGAGAGAGTGGGGGAATGCGGCACTCTTTCTATGGACTGTACCCAAACTCTAGGACAACACTTTCAGCAGTTAATTTTTATAAAATAAAAGAAACCGGCTCGGCGCCTATAGCTCAACCGGC